GGGTTCCCACAATCTGGTGCTATCCTACCTCCCTGGCCTTATCAAATGCTATGGTTTATACATTCTATCAATTATTATATATCCTAACCCAGATAAACTCCTCCAAACTTCCAGAACATATGCAATGCTTTCTCCTTCCATACTTCAAATACCCAACCCTTCCCCATCTCTTGCTACTGAAATAGCAGCTTCAAGGCTTAGTTCAAATACCACCTCCCCTCACGTAGGACTTCCCTGATCCTTCTCACCTCCCCATCCCATGGAAAAATGAACATTCAAGGTTTTGTGCCTCTGCTTCACACACCATAATCTACTTTGTATCAGTTATTATTGTACATGCCATTTTTCTTGTTATATGTTACCAGAGGGGAAAAAACTATGCCTTATATTTTCTTCTGTTTTCCTTCTAACTCTCTATTCTCAACAGTGGGCCTTGCAAATAGCAAAATTAAAAGTGTTGGTTGAATTAAACATGCAAAATCATGTTATGTATATATACCACAAGAGTGAGATAACATAACATCAGGGGGCAGCTAGGTGGTGCAGCGGATAAAGAGCTGGGCCTGGAGCCAGCAAGACCTGATTTCAAAACCACCCTCAGACACTAGCTGGGTGACCTTGGGCAAGTCACATAACCTCTGTCTGCCTCTGAGTCTCCATCAGTAAAATGAGGACAATAATACTACTACATCTACTTCCCAGGGTTGTAGTAAAGATCAAAGAGATAATATTCGCAAAGCACTTAGCACAGGGCCTGGAATATAGAAGGCACTACATAAATGTTAGTTATCACTGTCATCCTCATCATTATTTTATGTAAAGCACTATGTAAACCTTAAAGCTATATAAATGTGATCTCATTATAACTTATAGAGGTGAAAGGGGAAAGGCAGAATGACACAGTGAATAGAGTGCTGGCCTGAGAACCTGGAAAACCTGTATTCAAATCTCATCTCTAACACATATTGGCTATTTTAATCTAGGCCGGGCCAATTAGCCTCTCAGTGTTCCAGGCAAATGTCTATCACTGTAAGTTGCAGAGCAGGTGCCACTCCACCTTGGCAAAGGAAATTTCCTGATCTGGGAGTTCCTTATATCAATGAAAGACACACACATATAAAAATTCAACAAAGATTTATCAAGTGGCTATTTATGTTTACACCACTATTAGGTGTTGAGAAAGACACAAAGTTCACATAAGATTTTAAAGTCCACATCCCCATGGAACCCATGGTGTAACAGGACACTGAGACACCAACAGGGTCATAATGCACAGAGAAAGGAAAGGCTTTAAATGCTAAACTGAAGAGTTTATGTTTTATCCTAGGGCAAGAGTTCCCAAATTTTCTTGTTTCACAATGCTCTTAATGTCTCAAAATTTTTTTCATGGTGCCCCAGGCCAAAAGAAATGCCTAAGAGTTCCATTTATTAAGCAGTCAGGTCCAAAATTTACGGAATAATAAGAAGTCACTGAAAATTCTTGATCATATGAGTGAGTAGAGATGAGACAGATGGTAAAGAGGCAAAAATGACTCTAAAAAGAAAAAGCTAGGTGACTCCAATGATGGTGGCACCCTCAACAGAAATAGGGAAGCTATTTTGAAAGAGAGGGTAGGTTCCAGAGAAAGATAATAATCTTTCTTTTGAATATGTTAAGTTTGAGATACCAAAGGGACATGGTGATACGGAGCTGAAGCTTAAAAGAAAGATGAAAACCAAATTTATAAATTTGGAAGTAATCTGTAAAGAAATGACAAGTGAACTCATGGGTGCTAGGAAGACCACCAGGAGAAGAATCGTATTCTTACGATACATATACTGAATTTTCTGATTAGAAAATGAGAATAGTTCTTTCTGCTCAGTGATTTAACTTTTAAAAAATATTTTTCCCAATAATCTTTATATGGCAGATAGTATTACTTTTCAAGTTTTGCAGATAAGAGACCTGAGGCACAGAAAGGAGTAGTGACTTTCCTATGGTCATTTAATTAATAACTATAGACCCAAGACTCAAAGCTTGTACCTTCTAATTCCAAGTTTTCTTTACTAGGATTTAGAAGAAACTAAAAATATTACAAATCATAAGATCATAGGGATCTTTAATTTTTCTTCAAGACTCAGCGGCAACCTTCTCTCTGTAGCCTTTCAAAGATCACAGATTCAGAGCTGGAAGGAGCTTTACAGGTTATCTAATCTAATCCCTTTGATCACACAAAGCAGAGAACTGAAGATAAGAAAGGTTAGGTAATTTACCCAAGGTCACACAACTAGTAATTGTCAGGCAGGATGCTCCCAGGTCTTCTTGACTCCAAGTTCAGCACTTTATCCCCTATGCCCTAGTGCTCGAACTCCTCAGCTGAAAAGTGCTCCTGAAAATACATCTTTTATGGAGACTTTGGACCTTCCATTCCCTAGCTTATACTGCACTGATGCATACATTTTATGGAGACTTACCACATGTCCAGGTCTTTGAAGAACCAGGCTATTTGTGTCTTTGTATCCCCAGTACCTTATAAACTATAGGCCCTTAACATTTGCAGATCTGGGTTACAGCATTTAGAAATAAAAGAAACCTTGGAGACCATCTAATATAACTCTCATTTTGCAAACTGAGGCCCAGTGATGTGAAAGGACTTCCCAAGGTCACACAGAAGCTTGTCAAAAGGTCACCCGAAGAAGTTGGACTGGAATTTCAGACACTGTGGTAATGTTAAAACCAATGTCGTTTCCATTGTCATACTGCCTTAGGCCCTCTTTCAACTCTGCTTTTCCATCAATCTTGCACATCTTTTAGCCCTGGAAAAATGAGCTTCACTGTGAGGATCTTCAGTTTCCTCATCTACAAAATGGGCATGACAATACTTGCACTATGTACCTCACACAGTTGGAAGGCTAAGATGAAATTATAGAGGTAAAACACATACATATCAGCTCTTATTCTAAGCAATTTGTCAAAAATTTTTATACTGAATAATTATAAAGCTCACAGATGAAAATAAATTAGAACACTGCACTATTTATTAATTTTAATAATATATAAAAACAACAAAAGGCTCTCTCATCCTGCAAACCATAAGCTGTCATTCAACACCACCTCACTACTGTCAAGCTGCAAAAACTGGCCATATCGCTCTTTAAGAAGTCATCCCTAGACCAAAAAGCCAGTACAACAGCAGCACCCGTTTCACTGTCTGGGTAAATTAATCACTGTCCTCTTTATACAAATAAGTTCCCACAGCTAAACCTGAGATGGCCAGGTCTTTGGGAAAGGGAACAATATAGGGAAATAACTGAGAAGCAAATGGGCTGAGGAAAGATGGGTAATAACACAAGTCCAAGCAATACCATTTCTACTGCCAACTACTCTATCAAATGAGAAATGACAATATCCTAGCCATCCAAATCTGCTATCACTATAGAGAGACCTTGATTAATGAGGACCCAATTAACAAGAACTGTCAATTAACTAGAATCTTTTTTTCTTCCTGATGTGAATCTCAGTTTCCTAATAAGTAAAATAAGGATAACAGTTGTGCTATAACTCTCATAGCTTTGTGACGAGGTACAAGTAAGGTATGAGAGAGGAAAGCATTTTGTAAAATAAAGTTCCATATATATGTAATGTGTTATTGTTGTTATGACAGTAACAGGAAAAAAAATCAACAAAATCATTTAAGTGCATTTATGCACCTGCCCCATAATATTTTTTTAATAGTTATTGGTTTTGGTGTCTCATCCTAATAATAAATAACAAGTTCACTGAGAGTGGGGTCTCAGACCTACCACGTAACTCTTCTATCTACCCCACTGGCTGCTTCAGGTCTGTGAATGCAGTAGGTGCTAACCCGAAAAAATTTAGTTTGGGGTAGCTGTAATATTATACAATGATGACGGTGATGATGATGAAGAACACTTGAATAGTATTTTGATGTTCAGAAAGCACTGCTGCTATTCTTGAATTAGACACATAGATGGGTCTTAAAAGACTATCTAGTCATAAAATGTTACAAATCAGAGAGACCTTAGAAATAATTTAACACAGCTCTATCACTGGACTGCTGAAGAAACAGAAGAAACCAAGAAAAGTAATGTGACTTGCTTAAGATAATAATAAAGTGTAGCACAGGGCTTCAAATTCAGGTCTTCTAACTCTGAATCCAATGGCCTTTTTACTTTACCCCCCAGACTCCATTTTATATATCAGGAAACTGGGCCCATAGATGGGGCAGCTATGTGGCAGCACAGTGGATAGAGCACTGGACCTTGAGTCAGGAAAAGGAACACAAATCCTGCCTCAGACACTTACTAGCTGTGTGACCCTAAGCAAGTCACTTAACTTCTCTCTACCTCAGTTTTCACACCTGTAAAATGGGAATAACAATACCTGTTTCATAGCATTGCAAGGGCAAAAGCACTTTGCAAACCGCGAAGTGCTATATAAATGCTGGTTATGATTATGCTATTCATTGTCACTTGTTATACTGTTATTTATTATTAGCAGTATTATTTATTTGCCTCTTTTTGTATCCCCAGTGCTTAGCACAGTGCCTGGTACTTTATTGGTTATCTGTTCAAGGTCCAAGAGCTAGTTATCAACAGAGTGGTATTCAAATTCAGGTCTCTTCAATCTTAGCCCAGAACTACTGTTTAGTCCTGTTAGTGCTATGATCACGAGGAAAAACAATCACAGCAAAACATCCATAAGTCCGAGGAGCAGAACACATGGAGCTCAATCTTCCCAGGTTTTTACCAGTGAAGTCCCAGCCAATGAGTATTATGTTCAGAAAGTTGGCACAGAGTCACAGCAACACCCTGATTCATCCAAGAACTATTAAATGCTTTGCCCTAGGCTGTACTGAGTAGATATACTTTAAGAACATTTTCGACAAGGGGTTTCTGGTTAACTCATTTGCCTAACAAAACAGCAAAACAGGACAGTGGATTCCTCAAAGCAGTTTTTCCTGATTTAATAAAAGATAATAGGGATCACTTTTACCTACCTTGCCATCAAATTTGGAATACTCATTAAAAGGATTATTCAGCTGGAGCGGGCATTGCTCTAGGCGTACGGAGAGGAGTGATGGCTTCCCCACACTCGAAGACTTGACTTTGAAGTTCTTTTTTTCAAACAACGAGCTGAGCTCCTCTGCTGTGATAGAAAAGGGAGAAAAAAAAATGCCTACATGATGAAAAATGATTACTAGTAAGGTGTTGAGAACTTTAAGGTATATAAAATACATGCCATCCTAAATCAACAAACATTAAGTACGTACTGTGTGCCAGGCACTGCCCTGGGCAGTGGGGATACAAATACAAAGTTTATACTCTACTAAGGAAAAAGGTAAGTATATGTGTATATATGTCTATGTATAAACAAAAATATACTCGCATACATATACACATATATATATACACATACATATACATAGAATAACTATAGGATAAATACAAATGTCTACATATAGATATATGCAGAAAAATACAGTAAATATATAGTAGTTAGGGAGGGAGGACATCAGCAGTTGGGGGAATTAGGAAAAGCTTCAGTCATAAAATGGTGCTTAAGTTGTTGCATCATGAAGAGATGGATTCTTTTAGGTCAAGAAGGTTAGATACACATGGGAGGCATGGGGAATATCCATTGTAAACACACCAAGAAAGAAATGAAGCAGTATATATGAGGAACACCAAGAGGTCCAAGATAGCAGGATGAAAGAGTATGGGAAGGAGAATGATACAAAAGAAGATTGGACAGATAAGTTGGCAACCAGTTCTGAAGAGCTTTAAAGGTTAAACAGCCTTATATTCCATCCCAGAGGCAACAAGAAACTACTGGAGTTTATCAGAGGAGGGAGATGATCAGTTCTGCACTTAAGGAAAACCATTTTAGCAATTGTGTGAAGGATGGAATTGAATGAGGAGAGGCTTGAAGAAGAAGCTCCAAGCAGCAGAATGTGACAGTCTTCATCAAGATTATGTCTGGAAACAGCATTATTCAGAGACATACATTAGGACCACAAGATTCAAGAAAAAAATCACAATGAGGCTCTCAAAGGTCATTCGGAGACCAACAACTCACTTCCTCTTGCCCCTTGTTTTACTATCTTTGTTTACCTTCTTTATGTTTGATGTATTTACTATCTTTATAGAGTCAACTAGAGTATAACATATGTACCTAATACCTCTCCCAAGACTACCCCCCAATTCCCATCTGTTCCTAAAAAACAGAAATGTGTCCAAGTAGAAAGAGCACTAGCCAGGAGACAGCATAATCAGAGTAATCAGAGACTTTCTAGTCCACACCCTACCTGAGGGAGAAATCCATCTACAAAATCCAAGGGAAACAGTCATTCAGCTTCTATGTGAACAGCTCTAGTGACAGGGAACTCAACTGTTTCCTCCTACACACCAGCTGCTAAAAGCAGCTAAGGAAAACCCCACAACCAGCTGACTGGGTACATGACAAATTCATATTATCCAACTCTAACTGGCCCTTCACAGCACCAAGGCAATCTTTATATTCTTCTTTAATTGATCCCCTATCTCACTTCCTACAAACTTCCCTAATTCCAAACCTTCTCTTTCCTCCTTAAGCCTCCTATATTTCTCTTTCCTCATTCTCTCTTAGCTGATGTGGATCTTGATTCTCTTACTTTGTTGCCAAAATCAAATTTATTTGACTTGAACTCCTTTTCCTCCCATTCTCTTCATCTTAGCACTCCTTGCCATTATCTCCAACTCTCTCTCTCACACACATCCCCCTTTATTTCAACATTACCAGTTTCCTATTATAATCCTACGCATTTTATTTTATGCATTTATAAAAACATTATTCTGATAAGTGGTCTTATAGACTTCATCAGATTGCTAAAGGCCTCCCTGATATAGAAAACAGTCAAGAACCCTGTTCTGGGATCAAATATAAACTCCTTTGTTTAGTTTTTTAAAGCCATTTACAACATGGCTCCCCCTATCTTCCCAGTCTCACTGATCATTGCGCTGTGATCCACCCAAACTGGCCTTTTTGTTCCTCCAACTCCATCACCTGTTTTTGCGCCATCATACTAGCCTGGATGGCATGCTTTCCTTACCTCCACTGCAGAGAAGGCACTAGCAGACTGGATCAGTAAAGGCTTCCTATAAGATGGTGCTTGAGTCTATTCTCCAGGGCTATTCTCCAGGTTAAGCATACCCAATTTTTTTTTATTGATCCTGACACAAGTTTAAAATCTTTCATTCACATCACTGCTCCACCCTATCAATGCTGAACACAAAATGTGGCACCGAGAACCAAACAGAATACTTTAGATGTGTTATAACTAGGTCAGGGCAAGAAAACTAGCCTTCTAAAAGCAAAAAAAAAAAAAAGAGAGAGAGAGCAAGCTAGCTTCCTGGTGTCTTTTTTGATACTCTGTTTCTGTTATTCCTGGTACCAGAAATCATTTCCAGCTTCAGGTCATCGACATATTTTTGTAACTTTACAATCCTATGTCTTCTTCTGAGTCCCTGATAAAAATGTAAAATGAAGCCATTGTGAAACCAAGCATTGAAGGACACTGAAAGATAGATGAAAACATTCTGAGCTACAGACAATACCTAAATTAAAACAGTTGACTAGATGGGAAGAAGAAATTAACCAGAGCAGCTTCATGTGGTAGAAACAGCACTTGATTTGAAGTAAAAAAAAAAAAAATCACAGTTTTAAGTTAGTTTTTCTGTCTTTATTATAAGAACTTTAGTTTCCAAGACAAAACAAATTTTATACTTGGTAGCAGGTACCTAATTTAAGACTACATTCAGATACAGTGGTGATCCTTAAGAAAACTTGGGTCTTACACAAGGAAACAAATAATTATCTTCCATAAGAGAACTATGAACAAAACCATTATTCATGAATTTGCTAAGAAATAGAATCATTTTATTTTGTGCTTTGTAAACGATAATAATTATACAAATTACCAAGGTCAACTATTCTGAAGGCTAACATTAATTTGGATGTACAAATTCTGGTATATTTGGCTGAAAAAGTCTGCCTTATGATTTATTACAACAACCTGTGAAAATCATTCCTAATAATCCATAGAAAAGGCTGATAAAAGGCTTTTAAAAAAGCAAGAGTCCCAATCTAACATAATAAGTCAAGTCAACAAACATGTATTAAGCACCACTATGTGCAGGATCTGTGAGAAGCACTGAGGACACCAATAAAGGGAAAAAACAGTCCCTACTCTCACAGAGTTAATGAGGACAAGAGGCAAACAACTATGTAGAAAGAAGATGCAGACAGCATAAATTGGTAGACAAACTTAGAAGAAAGGTACTAACATAAGGGAGATTAAGAAAGGCTTCTTTCAAAAGGTGAGATTTTAGCTGGGACCTAAAGGAAGTCAAAGAAAACCAGGAAATGCGGATGAGGAAGGAGAAAATTTCAGGCATGGAAGACAATCAATGAAAATGCACAGGACTGAGAGATGGTTTGTTTTCTTTGAGACACAGAAAGGTCAGTGTCACTGGATCAAAGAGCATGTGGAGGGAGTAAAATATAAGAAGACTGAAAAGGTAGGGAAAAAAAAGGTTTATGAAATGCTTTAAAATCTAAACAGAAGATACAATATGTGATCCTGAAGGCAACTGGGAACCCCTTGAGTTTACCAAGTAAGAAGGTGAAATGGTCAGACCTGAGTTTAGGAAAAGCAATCTGATGGCTGAGTGGAGAAGAGACAGGAATGGGGAATGACCTTTAGGCAAACCAATCAGAAGCTATGTCCAGGAGTAAGGTGATGAAGGCCCGTACCAGAGAAGCTGCAGTATCAGAAGGGAAAATGGTGCATATGCAAAAGATGTTTTGAAAGTAAAAATCATAGGACTTGACAAGTGATTTGATACAGGAGTGGGATGAGAGAGAGTCAGGAGTCAAGGATGATATCTGAAACCTAAGCTGCTAGTCTGGGTGTCTGGGAGGGTGGTGGGATGCATGGCTATAATACAGAAGTTAGAAAGAAAAGCAGATTTGGTGGGGAAAAAGGAAAGATAACAAGTTCAGTTTTAGACATGTTGAATTTAAAATACCTTTGGGACATTCAGTTTCAGATGTACAAGAAGCAGTTGGAGATGTGAGAGTAGAGTTCAGGAGGGGGTTAGGGATGTTTAGAGATCTGAGATTCATTACCACAAAGATGATAATCAAATCCATGGGAACTGATAAGAACACCAAGTAAAACAACATATTGGAGAGAATAGGACTGAGGCACCCACACTTAGCAGATACAAATTGGATGAAAATCCAGCAAAGGAGGCCAAAAAGGAGTGATCAGACAAGTAAAAGAGAACCAGAAGACAGCAATGTCACAAAAACCTAGAGAGAGAGAGTAGCAAGCATAAGAGGGTGATCAACAGTGTTAAAGGTTGCAGAGAAGTCAGGAACAAAAAGGACTGAGTAAAGGCCACAAGATTTGGCAATTAAGAAATTGCTGGCAACTTTGGAGAGCACTGTTTCAGCTAAACGATGAGGTCTGAATACAGACTGAGGAAAAGAAGTAGAAGCATTGATTGTAGATGGCCTTCTCAAGGAATATCAGTACTGAAAGGAATGTTGCCTGGATTACTGCAATGATTGTCTAACTAGTTCCAAGTCTTTCTCCCCTCCATTCAGCCGCCGAGGTAACTTTTCTAAATCATACAACTGACCATGATCCTGATTATCTCCAAGATCAAATATAAAAGAAAGTCCTCTGCTTGGAATTTAAAGCTCTTCATAACCTGGCCCATTCCAATCTTTTTACACTTTATTCCCCTTCAAAAATTCAACTCTTGGGAGTAAATGTAGGGACTCACCTGAACCCTCTCCCAAACCCCTCCAAATACCTTTGAAAAATTAGTCTAAACAAATTCTAGGAGGCAGAACCCACAAAAAGCCAGAGTGAAACAATTTTCCAACCCAAGACAATTTAGGAGGTTGGCAAAAAAGGTCTGTTATACCAGGGTGAGAGAGGAGTGCAATCTAGTGCATGCAGCGCCAGTGCAGCTAGGGCCCCAGCAAACCAGGAGGAGGCTTCAGGGCAACAGTAGCACACCTGGGTGAGAGTGTAGCACAGTCCAGAGAAGGCTGCACCTGCACAGATCCAGCCGCAGAAAACCAGGAGCAGGCCT